TATTATATATATATATATATATATATATATATATATATATATATATATATATATATATATATATATCAGTATGTAACAAAAAACCCTGTTGGTAGTTTCAGGGACGTATAGGTGTACACATAGGCATGGTAATTATGATAATGAAATTTTTTTTTGGTTGCTTTAAATGGGGTTTTTAGGTTTATAATAAGATAACTTATGAAATATTAAATTTCTAAAAATGTTATTTGCTTCTGAACTTACCGACACATGTCGACATAATATTATCTACGTCACAGAATAAATAATAGTCTACGGCCGATATGAGGTCACTGACATGGCCGACTCAAAGCAAGCCGCTAAGCGGCGCGTGCTTCCCCAAGGTTTACTTGAAAATGCTTTTCCAACACTCAAATTGCCGACAAATGACGGTTATATTCCATTATGCTTGCTCGATTCCAGCATATATATATATATATATATATATATATATATATATATATATATATAAATTTCAGTATAACAAAAACCCTGTTGGTCGTTTCAGGGACGTATAGGTGTACACATAGGTATGGTAATTATAATAATGAAAAATTTTTTTGGTTGCTTTAAATGGGGTTTTTAGGTTTTTAATAAGATAACTTAAGAAATATTAAGGCGTGCGTGCGTGCGTGCGTTCCAGCGTTCGTGCGTGCGTGCGTGTGTGCGAGTGTACTTGCCTGTGTGAATGTGTGTGTGCTAATGATTGCACAGAAGCAATCCTAATGCTGGAAGCATCGTTATTACAGGTTTTAGAAATTCTTATATGAGTAATTTACTCGTTTGAGAAAAATTCAAAGTATTAATGCTGGGTTAAAAGAATATTCTCCGAAATTATACTGTGGCTGTATAAAACTGTAATTCAGCCCATGATCACATACGGCTCTCTGGTATGGTGGACCAAAACCAATGAAGCCACCACAATACAAAAGCTTCAGCGTTTTTTTTTTTTTTTTTTTTTTTTTTTTTTTTTTTTTTTTTTTATAGAATAGGCTGACAAACGAGCACACAGTCCACCTGATGGTAAGTGGTTGCTGCGGCCCATAGACATCTACATCTATCTTTCATTACAAATCAAAATGCAGATGCGTTGTCATCCATGAGGACTGAGATGGAATGCCTCATTTTCAGTAAAAAGGGTCTCCGGTTCTCTACACTCACCATACGAAATACAGCAGCATTAAGCTACTATTTCACGCTGGTATTCTGTGAGAGCATGGTCCTTCCCCGGTCGAGCCGACCCATTCGTGCTACAACTATACTACTAATATAACTGCAGCATGACTCTACCACGTAGAAGTTACCAGAGATTAGCTTGTATGGCTGCCACGGGCTGCATAAGGACAACACCAACAGCAGCTTTGGAGGCTATGCTGGAGCTAACACCGCTTCATCTACATATTCAACAAGAAGCAACTTTAGCTGCCATTAGACTCAAGACCCTAACTTCTTTCTTTTAAGTAAGAGTAGAGTCCCCCATACAGATATAATCGATAGAATTTACTCAAAAATTCCTATCTTACAAGCCAAGTATGATAGGATCCCAAAACAATTTGTATTCGATAAGAAGTACAGGATACAATTGAAGGAAACTGACCATCTGGAAGGATTGGGTCCAAGGGAGCTTAAAGTTTTCACGGATGGCTCTAAGACAAATGAAGGTGTGGGGTCTGGGGCTTTCTCTGAAGATCTTAATATTCACATATGCACACCGCTGGGTACCCACAACACAGTCTTCCAGGCTGAATGCATGGGTATCATCCAAGCGGCTAGGAAGGTGAGAGACTTCTCCATCAGAATACTGACCGACAGTATGGCGGTACTACAAGCTCTGAGTTGCAATATGACGAACTCGGGACTGATATACGAGTGCCATCAACGATTGAATGAGGTGCGTAAGCACAACAATGTGACTCTGCAATGGATCAAGGGACACAGTGGATCTAGAGGCAACGATGCAGCAGATGAACTGGCCAGAAGGGGATCGGCCCTAGCAACTATAGGGCAGGAACCAATAATACCAATCCCCTTTTGCTACGTTCGTTCACTGGTACGTAGATACTTCAATAATTTACACGCTCAGCTTTGGAAAAATTTAGTAGACTGTAGACAAGCTAGGGAGGCCCTACCTGAAATAAACAGTCGTCTAACCAATTTCTAGATCTAGCCAAATCTAGTCTAACCAAATTCTAAATTAGTTCTAATGAGATTGAACAAGCCACAGATCAGGATAGTAACAAGTGCTATAACATGGCATGGCTCTTTTAACAAACATTTGTTCACCATCGGTGTTACTGACAGCCCCCTGTGCAGGGCATGCATGGGAGAGGAAGAAATGGCGGCTCACGTGTTGTTGACATGTCCAGAAGTCGCTTCATACAGGGCTAAACATCTCGGCACGCCGGGATCGCTCCCCGAAGTTGCTTACAACTTCAAGGGACTGCTGAGCTTCTTCGGGGAGATATCATGGCTCGAATAAGCATATTATTCCTGCCCACACGCAAAATACGCGCTTAGACGTGGAGTTGCGGAAAACAGCCCGTTGTAAACTAAACTAAACTAAACTAAGAAGCGCTTTGTGCCAAACCCGATCGAAGGCCTTCGCAATGTCCAAACTAACGGCCAATGCCTCCCCCTTGGACTCTACTGCCTGCGCCCATCTGTGAGTCAGGTAGACCAGAAGATCACCAGCTGACCGACCTCGGCAAAAACCGTATTGGCGATCACTAATCAGCTGGTGATCCTCAAGGTACCTCATGAGCTGGCAGTTAACAATAGCCTCCATTGTTTTGGAGAACAAGGATGTGATGGCGATAGGCCGGTAATTGGACGGGTCTGAGCGGTCGCCTTTTTTAGGGATCGGGTGGACGAAAGCCGTATTCCATGATTTCGGGACTACGCCTAGGGAGTAGGAGTACCGGAAAAGACGCGTAAACCGGTACCAACTCTGGAGCACACGTCCTCAGCACAATTGGGGGGATTCCGTCAGGCCCACTCGACTTGTGGATGTCCAGGGAGTGGAGTGCTGTGCGAACCGATCGCTTTGTGAATTGCACTTACGGCATGGAGCACTCACACAGCGGGATGGTCGGTGGCGCACTCCCCCCGTCATCGAGAGTCGAGTTGGACGCAAAGAAAGAGCCTAGCAGATTGGCTTTCTCCTTTGCGGTATGGGTCAGTAAGTCGTCCTCCCTGTGCAGAGATGGAAGAGATGGCTGACAGAAGTTCCCCTGGACAACCATGGCGAGAGATCAGAATGCACGGGTTCCAGAAGGAAGGCGAACTAGTTTCTCGCCAATTCTGCCTATGTGCTCTGACTTTGCCTTGGCAATGACTCTTTTGAAGGACCTAGAGGCGGAATTATACTTCTTTTTTAGAGCGCTGGTGCTTACATCCCGGGAAGTTGATGCGTCAGCCCAGGCTTGGTAGCACTCCCGCTTATAGCATGATGCTATTTTACAGGAGCGACCAAACCATGGCTGAGATTTGCCTCCAATGGGCACCACAGAGGAAGGAATAAAAAGTTCAATACCCTGAAGTACCATATCAGCGACAGAATCCGCAACAACGTTGGGATCGTCCGGCGAGAAGCAAACCCGCCCCCAAGGTTAGGATGCAAAGAAAGACCGCATCCCATCCCAATCGGCCGACCTATAGTGCCAAACACGGTGGCAGCCTGCAGAATGCAACTGCGATTTCAGCGTGAGTGGCACCACACTGCGGACAAGACAATGGTCCGAGGAGTCTAAAGGGGCGTCGACGGAAATCTGATATCAGTCCGGGTGAGAGGTCAGTAGAAGGTCCAACAGGGAAGGTGCATGATCCTCCACATCTAGAATCCGCGTAGGCGAAGTAACCAGTTGTGTCAGACCATATGCCAAGGCAAAATCATGAACAGATCTCCCCGCATGATCGGTTAAACGTGAACCAAGCCATTCGGCGTGATGGGCGTTAAAGTCGCCGAGGATTACGATCTCTGCGGAGGGGATTTGCTTTAGCAACGAATCTGTAGCCATTTGGACGTGCTCGAGGAGTCGGTCTGTTTCGGCATTACTGCTATGGGACCTATAGAGGCACCCGTAGACGCGCGGATGGTCGTCGCTGTCTACGCGTAGCCAAAGGATGGACAGGTCCAAACCTTCAAGACTGCCGAGGCGTCGAGAACAGATGTCTTCTCTGAAGTAAACGCAAACTCCAGCCCGAGGCACAAATGAGTGTTCCAGTTTGTACCCCGGGTAGGAGAGATACGAGACATCAGCCGGAGAGGACACCTGTGTCTCGGTCAGAAAGAGCAGAGCCAGCCTCGCCGTCTTCGAGATGGTAATGGACGGCGTTTAGTTAGAGTGAAATCCCCGATATTGCAGAAATTCACGGATAGCGTGGCAGGGGGCGCCTTGGTCTTGTTGCTCCGTTTGCCCCGAGCTGTTGTAGTCTTGAGCGGAATTTCGGCCCCCCCCCCAGAATACGCCGGGCAGCCCGAGCACCCACGCTCAGGAGTGGAGAAACATGGTCGTGGATGCTCACCGAGGGATTCTCCAGGGGTGCTGGTACCCTCCTGGGGTAGTCTATCATCATTTAATTCCGCCACCATGTTGATGGGGGGGGGGGGGATTTGGGCCTCCGCGCGATGAAACGCGGAAGCAGAGCTTCCACTTTACGCCGGTATTCTGTGAGGTCGTGGTACCACCCCGGTTTGAGCCAGCCCATACGTGCAACAGCAAAGCTGCCGCGTGGCTCTACCACTGTTGCAAAAAAAGTTACTAAGAGGCTAACCATAGATTACTGTATAAACATATATATATATATAATGTAAACTAGAGACAGGGCAACACTCTAGTCGACAAAGAGGGGACGTCACAGAATGTAAGTTGCCAAAAGTTTATCAATATATATAGTTATCTAGAATAATAGTTATCTAGAAATCTAAGGCAGCTATACTTATTAGGTACTTGACTACTTGTATTATTCTATAATCTTTATAGAGTTACTGTTGCGTCTTGACTTGGAGATATTGATATTGGCTATTGGTAAGTGATAGTCGTTTTTTTATTATCTCCCATTGACGAGTGTCACCCACATGTATAGAAGTTTTGGGAGAGCTACAGAGAGCTGTAAGCGGTGGTTGCAAGGTGGTTGGAGGCCCCTCAAGAATGAGACTGATGTCCCGACAAAGAGACTTGTTAACAGATATTCGCTAATACATAATGTAAGAATGTATATTGGACTTCTATCTAGTTTCATTCTCATAAATAAAATCCAATCCGAACCTAAATTGTAATAAAAGCAAGAGTGAATTATAGGTTCTCGAATATGCTCTTAGGTTCTCACAGAGTACCCACATTACATTATATAATATTATGTTCTCAATTAAAAATATCATCGACATCGCTAAACTTTAAATTTTTTATTGTGTCTAAAAATAAAAATAAAGTAGGAATGAAATAATCATGCAATCAAGTGAGTTGTTTCCGAAAAGTGTAACTGATCCATATTCAATGACCAAATATATGTATCATAGAATACATATGAATTGGTAGATTATAATGTAAATACTTTTTGTTACATTTATTTTGGCCATTCCTATATGCCAATATACCTAGCAAAATTAAGGATTAAAAACAGTTCTATTTGCGAATGTGGGCTTTATGGGACCGTTTATTTTTTGCCTTTACCAAAGTTAAATTCTATATGATTTCCTCACCGTCCTATTATCCTATGTCCTATTAATATGATATTCCGTATTATGATTACCCCTATCATAAATGTTTTGTGTATTTTATTTAAAAAAATAATAATATAAAATATGGATTTTGTATTGTCTAACAAAGGATAAGGGTCTTATACGAATATACATTATTGTTAGTTTTTTTTAGATTTAGGATTCTTATTCAAAAAGTAATATCATTTACTTCCTCTTTTTTTATATCGGTTTTGATCATTTGCCAATGTCAGCGTGAAAGTGTTTATTGAGTAGAATAGCTCAGAGAGAGATACAAATACTATGCCCATGTACTTACAAAAAAAGATTGTGATAATACAACTATCTTATATTTCTTTAAGTTATTTTTTCCTTTCCTTAATACTAATGATTGTACTGTTAAATTACCTAGAACAAATAACAAACACAGTTGTTATAGCTGCATTAGTATGTTAGTATTGACAAACATTAAAGTTTTAGTTTATTGGTGTTATGAATGAAATCAGACAGAATATATACAAAAAGTGTGTTTGTGTAGTAAGTAGTAGGGATCGTAGAGGGAACAAAATAATTTAGAACCTGTTCCAATTATTGTTTAACTTCTGCTTTGCAAGTAACACTTGGTCCGAATAATAAATTATACATACCAAAAGTAAACCAAGTAAACCATTTTGAATTGAGTTTTTAGTCACCAGATCAGCAGTTTTATTGCTATTGATACCACTATGACCTGGAATCCATGCTAAAGAAACCTGAATGTCCTTGAGATAACATTTATACAATGTATGTTTAATACGGAGGATCAAGGATATCTTATATTTACTATGGGACTGGTTGAGCAAAATTACTAACAATCAAGTTTTGGGGTCCTTATGTAACGGGACTTTTTAAGTCATGTGCTTCAATATATATCAGAGCTTCATGAATAGGCCTCACCAGTAAAAGTGGTTGAAATAGATTGACATTTAAAATTAAGAATTGTTTTGTATCTGGGAAGCCAAACTGCTACTCCAGTACAAATTTCATCTGATTTTTTGGAGGCAGTGTAGTATACTAAGCCAACCTTTCCATAATTTCTCTATGACTACTTAGTTTACTATTTGCTATAGAAGGTTCTCTCTGTATGCCAAGAGCAAGGATTTTTGGTTAATAAAGGAATCGATCCAAAAGATATTGTCTTCTTAGGTAAAGATGGGGGTCTACACATTCAACTTGGACAGCATTTATCGGGGAAGATTTCATTGCCCCAATGATTATACAAAAGCATTTATTTCTACTCCAATTGTCTAGGATCTTTAGGGAAATAATTGCTGTCACTCCCCATAACTGACATGATATTGGCAAAATTGTTTTAAAAGTAGGTAGCCAAAAAATAAAAGAAAGATATGACTGTAACTATATTAGTATATTGCTGTTACAGCTTTTCAAAAATACACTGAAGAACCTAGACCATCTCCGTAGAGTAAGTGAAGTAGAGCCGTAGAGTACGTAGGCCGATAACCTTAAGTGGGGACATTAGTCATAGCAGCCACACTTGACAGGTAAGTTGACAACTGCTGTTTTGTATACCTTGAGTGCAAAGCACAAGAGGTTGGGCTTTACTGTAGACTTAACAAGGTCACGCTACCAACTCGCCTTATTTGATTTTTTAGTTGTTAGGAAAACACTGCTTCCTATCTTCTGGTTTGTACCCTCTGTCTTCTCTTTCAACACCCACTGGATAATATACCCCGTATTGTGGATATAATTACACCGCCACCACATGGATAACTACATAATAATGTGTAGTATGAAGTAACAGTGTCTTGAGCAAAGTGCTAACTGTTAAGAAGTACTTAGTGCTGACAATAATGCATTATCCTTAGTTATATTATTCTACTCCTTGTTGTCCATGTATTTTTTTGTCCTGTGGTCATGGCCTCTTATGATTAAACTTTTGCCAGTGTCAAGTAATAAGAAATTAGCCTTTCAAATAATTTGTTTCAAAATCTTCTTTACAATATGTTTATGCGTTATTCTGAGAAGTTCTTGGAAGATTTTGATGACAGCTTGATCCAATGGATAGTCAATGACGACAGGATCTTAACTTTAAAACAAAATAAATAGAGGTTTATATTAACATCGGAGCTCTTGTTTCGTTGTTTCCACTAAAATTTCACATGTGCCAACACTTTATACACAAAATCGCATCTTCTCTATCTAAGAGTCCATCTGCATAGGCACCACATTCTTAATTAAAAAAAAGTAACTGCCTCGTTGTCGGGCCAAAAAGATATATTTAATTTACTTGATGGAAAAACTCAATAAAATATTATTGAGTTTTTCCATCAAGAAATTCTCAGTAGTTGGCCGGAGTCAGGAAGTTGGCGGTGTCTCACCCCCGTGCCTCAAAAGGAAGTAAAGCCGTTGGTCCTGCTCCTGATCTCTCTCCGGTCGTGTCGGTTTACCGTCCCATCGGATTATGAGAGTGAGGGAATAGAGAGTGCACCTGTGCTTGCGCATACACTTGGGCACTATAATCCTGTCCTGCGCCGATGGTTAGTCTCCGTTGAGAGTGGCCGCTGTGAACGAAATTCGGTCTGGAGGATATTATTACATTCTTAATAGTAGTTTAGTGAGTCAGTAGTTACAGGCTGTCAGGCATCTAAGTTTTCAGAGGTGGCGACATAACTGTGCGTTATTTGCTTAAGGTTTGTTGCAGCTGTTCTAGAGCTGCAGTAGCCACTCACCATCAGGGTATGTCAGTTCGTCTACCACTTCAGTTTCATGAAGAAAAAATTGTGACAACTCGTTTAGTAAATGGGGTGAATTTGTTTTTTGTTTGTTTTTTATAGGATATGGTGACAAACGAGCACACAGTCCACCTGATGGCAAGTGGTTGCTGTGGCCCATAGACATCTACATCTATCCTCGATTACGAATCAAAATGCAGATGCGTTGTCATCCGTGAGAACTTAGATGGAATGCCTCGTTCCAGTAGAAAGGGTCTCCGGTTCTCTATACTCACCATACGAAACACAGCAGTATTAAGCTACTAATTGACGCTGGTATTCTGTTAGAGCGCGGTCCTTGCCCGGTCGAGCCAACTCATTCATGCTACAACTGTACTTCTAATATAACTACAGCATGGCTCTACCACATATAAAAAACTATTATACGTGTGTTATATATACGTGTATTAAATATTATACGTAAGTATATTAAACTTATTATATTCCAGAGAAATGGAAGTTGTGTTCAAAGGCATTTTATTTGGAGCAATGACAATAGCAGCAATTCTTGCTGTAGCAGTTCAAATTTGGGAGATGAGGCAAGTTCCGTCATCCTACAGTACACATGGACAGCGCAAGCGAAGGAATGAGTAATATGTAAGTTTTGAAATATTTCTCAAACCGACTTATTTTCTATACAGTTACTAGCTTGACAGGCAGACGTTGTTCTGCCCTTTTCGACGACCCTTTATCAGGTCCTATTAAAAATCCTTAAATTTGCGAAAAAAAATATGTGGGTCACTCATCAGCAACAAAACTATCCTATCTCTCAAGTTGGACCAAACTGCACATGGTGTGCAAATTTGATTAAAATCGGTTAAGTAGTTTAGGAGTCCATCGCGGACAAACAACATGACACATTATTTACATATATTAATATTTACAAAATTAAGAGTGTAGACGGGCTGCATTTTTTCCATACAAATGTCTCTTCCTGGCCTCTAGAGTAATCATTTTTACATAAGTACATAAACACTCACGCCTGTCACCCTCCCACAGATTTCATTTGGCATGATCTTGACACCTCGCTCGCCTATTCCACATTCATATACCTATGCATACATGCTCGTCGGTTAAGGGTACTCCTAATTTGGCCCATTTTCAATATATCGCCAATTTGGTCGATAAACTTTCGCCTAGGGTTTCCCTTTCCAACTCTTCCACTCACTTCTGCAACATAAATTTGCTTTGTCAGTCTTTCTTCATTCATTCTTTCTACACCACCAAACCACCGAAGCATTCCTTTCTTAATCCTGGTCACAACATCATCATCATTATTGTTTAATCTTTATTGTTTTTAAAAATCTAGGTCTATTGAAGGCGTGCGTGCCCTGTCATTAAGTTTTTTATTAATTATGACGAAAATCAATATGACTTTCCAAAAACCTAAAAAAATGTCCTATTTTTGCCTCCGTAATGAAACGACTACCAAAGAAATATAAAAAGATTTTAAGATAAAAACAAGTAATAGGAGCATAGAGCATATTCTTCTTTTAAATTTTGTAGTTAAAGGGTATGTTCCGAAACGTTTCCAGTATACTGCTGAATACGAATGACGTCTTCAATTGACGCCGTATTGTACTGGCGTGCCGCCGCCATATTGTGTCGGATATCCGACCATATTAAAACAATTTTTAATTGTGTGTACGCTGAATGAAGCATGCCAGAATTTGTTTTTATTTATTCAAATACAAAAAATTATAGAATTATTGCTGGTGTCTCAATTAGGAGGATATAATGATTTTTGGAGCATAAAATGACAAAATAATCGCCAACACTTTTCCAATATGGCGCAAATGTATGACGTCATATACTGACTTGTGTTTTGAAACGAATCACCAGTATGGCGTCGATTCATGACGTCATTTGCATTGGACAATACACTGGGTTCCATTTTGGAACATACCTTTCATCTTTATGAGCTGCAGTTGTCTCTATCGCACTCCAGGGGGGGGGGCAAAGGTGAGGAAGGTTTAGACTAATACGTACACATTTAGGGAAGTGACTGTTAGTACAGAGCTACGCACACAAATACAGACTATTCACTCGCATAACGATACCACGGTTGCTCTGGCGCAGTGCGACAGCAATAGTTTCTTCAAATACCTCAGCAGACCTACTACGCTCTTAAAGATTGCGAAAATAGCAATACAAAAAGCAAAAAGAAAGAACAAAAACAATCTTTATGTGTTTTTGAGTAAAGGTCAGCCAGTAAATAAAGACGTGCGCAATTTTAAAAGCGTGTAGTAGAAGTAAACCACGTAGTGGCGGTGTAAGAATATCCACTACCTGTGACTGCCTCGTTGGTCTAGTGGTTGTAGTAGTGCGACTGCTGATCATGAGGTCCTGGGTTCGAATCCCGAGTCGCGCCTAGAGTTTTTCCTTCAAGAACTTCTCAGTAGCTACGCGGAATCAGGAAGTTGGCGGTGTCTCACCCCTCTGCTTCGGAAAGCATGTAAAGCCGTTGGACCAGACCCTGCGTCTGGTCTCTCCGGTCGTGTCAGTTTACCGTCCCATCGGATTATGAGAGTGAGGGATTAGAGAGTGCACCTGTGCTTGCGCATACACTTGGGCACAATAATTCTCTGCTGCGCCGATGGCTAGGCTCCGTTGAGGCTGGCCGAAATTCGATCTGGAGGATATCATTATTATTATTACCCTAGGAGACGACCGATGGAAATAATACCGCGGTTTCCAAGCCGCCCACGAATCGTGCACTTTCATAGTCCGATGGGTCGACAATCCAACATGGCTGATGATTGGAGAGAGGCCGGGCGCAGTACCAATGAGCTGCGTGCTTTTCGAGGCACGGGGTTAAAACAACGAACTGCTATTGCAATCGGTTCTTAAATACGTCTTCAAAGTTTTTTTTTATAGGGTTAGGGTGACAAACGAGCACACAGTCCACCCGGTGGTAAGTAGATGCTGTGGCCCATAGACATCGACATTTAACCTCGATTAAGACTCTAAATGCAGATGCGTTGTCACCCTTGAGGACTAAGATAAAATGCCTCGATTCCAGTAAAACTGGTCTACGGTTCTCTACACTCACCATACGAAACACAGCAACATTACATATACAGCTACTATTTTACGCTGGTATTCTGTCCTTCCCCGGTCGAGCCGACTCATTCGTGCTACAACCATAATATATCTGCAGCTTCGCTCTACCGCGTATAAAGTTTTAGATTATTCGGACATCCAGAAGAAACTGAAAACTAAATCTAACAGTTTCATTTCAGTCATACATACATACGAGTATACCTGTTGGCGACGCGCCTATTAGAATATTTCAGTTTATTAAGTCAACCGATGACGAATAACTTCTCAAAGGCATATTGTCCAATAGCAAGGTTCTGATAAGAAAATGCTTAGTTAAATCTTAAAGAAATATCGAATTAATGATATGAAGGTCTTGGGTTCGACTCCCAGGCCGGACTAGTTTATTTGTTTTCCTAAGTAATATCGCTTAATAAATTCAAAGGAATATTAAAGTGAAGTTAGAGATCGGATTTGTTCCCCGGTCGAGATGATCACTCTGTGCATAAATAGAATTAACGGAAATCAATCGCATAAGTATTGTCTTATATAAGTTTGATATGTTTTGTACGAAAACAAATGCCTATTTGCCATGATTGATTTATGAGAACATTCACTTATATTGTTATCTGATAAGAAACATGATAACTG